TAGGAATATGAAACTGTTGGCCTGATCTTATGGCAATGGTTCAGTTTAGCTATCAGTAACAACAGTAGGCTTAATAGTACTAGTTCTAATAATCATAGCACAACAAAGGAGGAACCTGTTGAACACTTCTCCGATTTGAATGATGATAACACAAGAACGGGAAGCATTTAGTCGATTGTTGTAAAAAATTTTTCATTATACTGTAATAAATTAACGTTAATAAAGCGAGTTAATTTTAAAATGAAATCTTATTTAGACCTACTAAATATGTTTTTCATCTCTTGAAATGCGACAAATTATGGTGATATCTTTCTTGTTTTGAAACGAAGTCATCTTTAACAATATCAGTAATATTAATATTATTAGTACCACTAGACCTACTGCTCTTATTGATTGCGATACTGACACCATGGCCATAAATTAGATCAGGCCTGCCATTTCGTATTCTTATCGCCCCTCCCCTGGTGACTGGTAAGTCTGAGGGCTTATAAATCTAAAATCGGGTTTCGATACTATTTTACGAAAAAAAAAGAAATAAAATTTAAACCAAACGGGATCTTGCTTACTATTAGTGCACATGTGCAGTGATGACGTCAAATATCAATGTTGTCTATAAACTTGAGAACTTCTGGTGTTTTCTTCAGCGGATGTAAACCGTCACAGTTCAGCAAATACTGCGTTATCAGGCTCTATTAGACACATGGTTGGTGATGAAATGTGCACTTAAAACTCGTAGCTATTATGTAAATAGCAGGACAAAAATTACTAGGGGAAATTTGGTAATTTTGAAATCAATTATGCGCCTCCAATTTACTATTTAAATGTCTTAAAAACTTTGTCGTTTGCTTTTTCAAATTTTCGTATGTTAAAGGAGGACAATTTAAATAATGAAGCTTCCTATTTGAAATGTCCCCCGCTAGGACAACAGTAAGTCTTCGGATTTACACTGCTAAAATCAGGGGTTCGATTCTCCTCGGTGGACACAGCAGATAGCCTGTTGTGACTTTGCTATAAGAAAAACACACAAGCATACATCTATTTGAAATAAAAATTAAACTAAGATCAACTCACTGAACTAAAAATCTAACAGTGTGTTCAAAATTGCCAATAATAATTTTACAAAACACACACACAGTCAAAAGTTCGTAACGTAAACCGTAGTTGCATATTAATTTATGTGATGTAAACCTTGTTAGGATAGATAACATTACCAACCGTTTCAGTGGCAGGAGCACGCCATCTACTGGACGATCTCAGTGTGCTCCTCAATACTGAGTTGTGATGAAACATCAATGTATTTGTGAAACTTAGCTCTTGTGTTCTGATAAAACTGGCTTCACGTGTTGATCATATAGATATTAAACTATATAGATCATATAGATATTAAGCCTAATGCTATCTATGTAGATTGCTTGAGTCTTCAACGTACCGAACTACACCACTGGCGAAAAGCCAATGAGCTGTCAGATTTTAGTTTTTTAATGGTAACTGATTTGGTTTAGTGTTAGGAGGTTGCCACGAGGACGGCTTTTTATGTAGCGTAAAGTTGCTACTGTGTATTTTAAATCATAGGGCGTGTGTGTGCGTGATATTATTAAATATTCACATCTGTAACTCCTTAGCAAACATGATTGAGTGACATAAACCAGTTCATTTTGTGGTACTTTTACGATAAAAATATAAAATAATGTATAGGTATGTTAGGTCCTGTTCACACTTTTTTTTATTATTTTTTTTTGCGCTCAGTACGGTTCGGTTCGTTTGGAGAACAGTGTGACCAACAAAGTTAGGCTGGCAAACTAACCGAACCGAACTGAGTCCACCAGAAGGAGTGGTGGTCTCGGTTTGTTTCGCTTGAAAACTTTAATGTGAACTTTACGTTAACAGCGAAGATGCCCAACCGATGAAACAATGCATTCTAATCATTATAAGTAGAAAGGTAAGAGAAGAAGATTGATTTTTTTAGTTTCACTCTGTCGAGAGCGTTAGTACTGTATCTTCTAGTTATTTCACCCGACCCGTTTTTTATGATTCTTACGAATCATTTAAAGCTTTTCTTTTACTGTACATGTGTATTAGTATGATGTCGAAAAAGCAAAATAGTGCTGGGTTTTGGGAAATATTATATAAAAAACTGGTAAGTTTCTTATTTAAAAAACTTTTTGGGGTACATATTCATTGACAGAGATTAATTTTTTTAACTAAAAGTTTATTTAAGCACGTGTGGCTCGTGACTCTTACACCTCTCACACATTTGCCATTTTTATTTTAATTTAACTTGTAATATAAAAACCGAGAGTTTATTCTTTTGCTTGTTTTGCATTTACGCGTAAATTCTACATTATTATTTAGTTTTTTTAAAATATCAAGAATGGACAGCTGAGGAACAATTACTTTCCTGTGAAAGTGCCCTCTTGTAGGAATTATGAATCATGCGAAGCGAAAATTCAAAACAAATGTATTAAACCTACTGTATCTACTGGATTTCATGTAAATATGTATGAACACGTCGCTGAAGTAGTTTTGTTACGTCATGCAAAGGTTGAGTACGTTATATTCAAATAATTTTGGAGCGTCTCTACATCGGTACAGTCTATATCACAACGTTTGGTCGCGCTCAACTTGATGACACTGAACCTTGACATTATTCCTATGGCGTAAGGCTGATATTTTCCAGCAGGCTTTCCATAACCCATTTAGCCTATGTGAAAGACGGTTTCTCAGCGCCCACTCCAACAGCCCAGTCAATTGTACAGATATTCATAGGCTCTGTGTCCAGTAACTTGACCTGTATATCTTCTTATGGAATAATAGCATGAATATCCGTTTTACTCTCCAGGTGCTTGAGACATCCGACGGTAGAAATGATATGTCGTAAACGTGATTTCGCTTTTCCAGACGGATATCCTTTCTGTTTATATAGAATACTATTGCCTTTGTTTGTGGATTCTCACCAGTTACAAGACGTTACACTTTCGTTACGACTTGTTGCGTGTCTCTTTTTGGTTGATACTGGTTCCTCAAGTTGATCCATTATATTTCGTTTTCTAATGCCATTAAGTGCTAGGGGTTTTTCCACATTGGAGATTCTAAATCCACGGTTTGAATACATCTTTATGATTTTAAGTACATAAATGTTTTGCGTTGGAAAAGGCGAAGACATAACTTTCCCAAAGTGATTACAGTACTTTCTGGTGGCATCACAGTACATACGAACGCCATGCAATGTCAAAATATAGTTGTGATACATGGCGTTCCACCGCAACTTTATATCGACTGTGTTTGTCGCGTGACTTGCTTACTTGCATATTCAAAATTGTTTTAATGTACCGTGCTAAACCTGTGTATTCGCTAAAACAGCTTAAAACATGTCGCTGTTTAACTTGTGTAATAGGTCGCAAACTCTTCCGCTATTTAACGTTTTAAAGTTAGTAATAGTTTCCAAACATTAATAAGTTTACTGACAGAAAACTCAATTATTCAGTGAAAGTTTACACACCGGTTCCTTATTCCTATTATTCAACTATGCGATGTGAATAATGGATTTTTTTATCCCCCATTTTAAATTACTAGTTTTTAAAGTATTATGAGTGATAAAAACTAGATATTGCTGGTGCCTCGAACTTTATTCTTTATCCCCATTTTACCCTCGAAAATGACGTCGACTTGGGCCTGGGATGACCACCAGGTGTTTAGAACGTTCCGCCCGCAATCTGCGAGTCGTGGGTTCGAATCCCCGTCCCACCAAACATCCTAGCCCTTTCAGCTGTGGGGGCGTTATAATGTGACGGTCAATCGCACTATTCGTTGGTAAAAGAGTAGCCCAACAGTTGGTGGTGGGTGGTGTTGACTAGCTGCCTTCCCTCTAGTCTTTCACTGTTAAATTAGGGATGGCTAGATCAAATAGCCCTTTAGTAGCTTTGCAAGAAATTCTAAACAAACAAACCAAGTTATCAAGGATAGGTTCAATCAATTCGTTTTTATGATTAATGATTTACAGATAGGTTCCGATTAAACGAGAATACTGGAACGATATTATTATAAAATGTGACTAATGAGTTGGCACCAGAACAGAGGAGGCTGCCGCCTCTTTTGCCGCTTAATTGTATATTAAAATCTTTGCGTTTCTGCGTTACGGGGACCTTTTTACGAGTGTACAGTGATTTATTTGATCTAGACCCGAAGCAAAGTTTCAAGAATTATAAAAAGTGTGTCAGATGCTATTGCATCCCTATATGGACAACACACATCCTCTGAATTTAGAAATCGACAAGGAGAAGTTCAGCTGAATTTCATGCAACAATGTAGAATCTCTGGTATGATTGGTGTAACAGACCGTACAGTGGATAACCGCTTGAACCCTACCTCACGACACCATCGCTGACTTGTACCACAATGGCAGAAAAAAATGTATGTTTCAACTCTTCGTTTTACAGAACAAGAGTCACGATAGAAAATATGTTTGAAAACGTCTTCCTTGCTTTAGACTGAGTTACTCAGAGCTCAAGATAACCTTATCAGTGATTGCACGTGCTGTTTTGCACAATAGTACCAAAGACATAGCAATACTTTTACCGGAAGGAGAAGATACAGCTGACTTTCCAGTATCCAATCTCGTGAAATATCATCCAGGCTTTGGGATAAATTTTGACCAGAAACTTTTAATGGATAGATACACATATAATTTTATTTCAGCACATATGTATACATACATCAAAAGTCAACACACACTTAGGAACTTAAGTATGTTGCTGGCAGGGTACACTTCAGAAACAAAAACAATGTTCTACAAGAATGAAAAAATGTCAAAACTGTTGACGTACACGTATATTCGTAGTATTACCGTTCCTGTCATTAAAACGTCCATAATAAGTATTATTATCGTCATTAGGTTTATTTTTAAGTAATTATTGTTCGAGTTTCCGTTTCTTCAGAACTTTTTCGTCTTCTTTAAGTTGTATTTTATTTTTTATGTTCTTTAGCCATTTGAACCAAGCGTGATATTATAACCTGACCTTGGAGTCCTGGTGGGATTTTCGTTTAGAAATACGAACTTTGGAAGCAGACAAATTCGATGACGAAGTTGATGATGCTTGTAGCAAAAGTCTGTGAAGAAGTTGATGGGGTATTTAAATTATTAGAAGGTTTCTGAAACTAAAAGTTAATGGATAAAAATAAAAGCATGCAAGTTTCACTGACAATTTGTTTCCCCCTTTTCGAAATACAGTGACTACATCAAATTATACCAGCAATGAAACATCATTGTCAACATTATTTAGTCACTTAGAAAATACGTGTAACCATGTAATACTGTATTTTATGTGAACACTCCTTGTCACATGCTGGTTTATTTTTATCAGTTTCTGGCATTACTTGTCGTTATCACAGATTCTATGATAAGGGGACGTAACTTGTCATTATTGTAGATTCTATGATAAGGGGACATAACTTGTCGTTATTGTAGATTCTTTGATAAGGGGACATTACTTGTCGTTATCATAGATTCTTTGATAAGGGGACATTACTTGTCGTTATCATAGATTCTTTGATAAGGGGACATTATTTATCGTTATTATAGATTTTATGATAAGGGGAACATTACTTATCGTTATTGTAGATTCTTTGATAAGGGGACATTACTTATCGTTATTAGAGTTTCTATGATAATAAGATAATGCATGAATACGTATCCAAATCTTTTTCAGTGGTTCAGCTCCCCTTTTTTTCCCCTTGCATCTATCTTTTGACACAGCCGTTTTTGCCTGAGTTTTCACGTGTTTCTGTAATTGTTAGCTTTTAAACAGTCTTCCAATATTAACTCTATGACAGAAATTAAATTCTTAACATATTTTTCTTCCAATTCCTGTGCCATTTTGTGTACAGTGAATAATTGTTGCGTCATTCTCTTATTTTCTGATATTTTTTTATTTTTTTAATTCAAGTAAAATCGTTTTTCTCAGTTTGAAATAACTCGGTGTTTTCTGTTATGAAACAATGTTAACTACTACTTTAGCCCGATTTGACATCCCTTTGAGACGAACTCGCTCAAGAACAGGTTAGTATGGCCTACTACTTCTAACGTGAACTAGCTTTGAGGCACGGGTTAAGTTGGAGTTACACCATAGCCTGATCGTCATGTGAATCAAATTAACCTGCAGTCGGCTGTAAGATTCATTACCGTTGCCAATATTACGAAACCTGGATATAATTACGATGGCTCATGTACTTGCAGTAGTGAACATCCAACAAGAAGAATTGATCGAAAAAAATATATATATATATAAAGACTAAAGTGATAAATAAACAGTACAACACCAGCCGTATTTTAACGGATAATTGAGTACGTTTACCGAAACACTATCTCTAGTGACTGGACAATGGACAGAAAATGTTCAAATTGACGAAGAATTCGTGACCACGCACACACGAATGTAACAAGAACATTATGTACTTTTCCCTACTCAAACTTTCTTATTAATATATTGCACCCCAGTAGTATGTCTGTGAACTTACAACGCTAGAATCCAGGTTTCGATACCCGTGGTGGGTAGAGCACAAATAGCCCATTGTGTAGCTTTGTGCTTAATTTCAAACAAACAAACAAAATTAATATATCTGGTGTAACTATGGCAACTGAGTTATTGTACAACACGCCATGTTATTTTGTAAAGAGCTTCTAGAAAGAAGTTTCGAGAAATGTTTTACAGTTACTGGTATAGATATTTTCATTATTTATGATTAAGCGTGCAGGAGTCTGGCATGGTCTGATGATTAGAGGAATCTGTGGGTTCAGGATCGAAATCTGTCACTGAAAAAACTCGCCCTTTCAGTCGTGTGGGCTTTATTATGTTACGGTCAATCGTAATCTTCGTTGGCAAACAGTTATTGTGTAATTAGAATATAGGTGTGAGATTATATTGGATGAATCAAGGGATGTTAGAAATTGATAATCTGTTACGGTTTCGTAATCTGTTCAAGTTTAATGTAGGTTTTAATGTTCTGCTAATACGGGATTGTTTTAGAATCGTGTGTTTACGTTCCTGAACTCGATTAAGCCTAACGGAATAGTAGAATTACAATTTTATCATTTTTAGAAATCTGAGAAGAAAAGAAGCGTCCATAACTTGTTGGGTTTTAAAATAAGACTGGAACTTATATATTAATTGCAAGGTAATCCTGTCGATAATCTCTTGCATGACACCAGCGTTTGGTTTATTAGTTAAAAGCTAATGGATCATGTTGTTTGACGTGAAGATTGTTCTGGTAGAGCTTGTTGACATTGTGTTAAACGTGTGCACGAACTCTCGAGTCTGATAAATCAGTGTCTTCATTCTGTTCGAGTTAAACCACACAGATATTTGACAGCTTTTGGTTAGAATCTGCCTTACTTTTTTATCTAAGTTTTTTAATACATTTTGATTTACATATACACTCACACGATAGTTGCTTAAAACAATTTTCATTTTAAGAATCGTGCTTAATAGAAGACAAATATTGCTTTAAAGCGCTAACTTTGATATTTAGATAAACTGAAACGTAATATTAATGAATCCACCATTGTTCTTGAAACATGGATTTTGTAAAAACAAAACAAAAACAACTATAAACATTGCCAGCAAGTGGATCGTCCATTTGCATCGTAAGTTTCGTCGAACGTGATTTATATGGATAATACATGCATTTTAAAGATGAACACTTAAGATTTTGAGAATATTTTAAGCAAGTGGTTTTGTGTAGGCCTACAAAAGTTTTTGTTGTTGTTTTACGTGAGCTATAAGCAGTATATCAATATACAACCGTTTAGGGCCTGTGAAAGATGGGAAAGGAATTGGTGTGTGTATATATATGGCAGAGTCACCCAGATTTTTGTCATCCACGCCCGTCTTTAATAAATATGGTTTCTTGTGCCTCCTCCTCTCCTCGCCCTTCACCCCCTGCGTGAAGGAGTGATTTAGTGACGCGATATAAATGCACAGCTACACATTAAAATGCTATCTGTGTTGTAGTAATAACCTATTATTTTAATTAATAAAAAATATATCAAACGCTTAATTTTACATTATTGCACTATTAACTCTATCCTAATCGCTTGCGCCCTCTGGGGGACGTGCCCCATACTTTGGGAGACGCTGGTATAGGTTAACGACAAAAGATGATTTAAGAAATGTGCTTTAGAGGTTTAAGCAAAATATCAGTAACAAGCTTACCTAAAAATGTAAAATAAGGGCCCATAGATAGCTTATTTTTATAGATCCAATGTTTCTGCAGTGCGACTTAATGTAATTAATTTTCCTTAAAAAAAGAAGAAGAAAAAAAGGTGACATTTGGTTGCTAAATTGTGTATTATCCAATTGCTGCTTACGTATTCCACATGAGGTCGATATTGTCTTATTTACATGTGTTTGTAAACATTTTCTGGAGTAATAAACTGTAATAAACTTTCTGCATTTCAACCATGACGAAAATATTTTCAATTCTAGCTTCACAGATGGGGACGAATTGAGTGTTCTTGCATGCATGCTACCTAAATGATTCACGAATCACCACACACTCATTTTGAAACTGTGGACTTTGTTTGTGGGTTTTAGCGCAAAGCTACCTATTAGGTTATTGCGCTCTGTCCACCGTGAGGAATTGAACCCCTGCTTTTATCATTGTAATCCCGTAAACATACCGCTGACCCACTGGGGAAACGTGGACTTTGTGAGCATGTTATTGTAGTTCTACATCGGAAAGCAAAGGGATCATGGATCATATCCCCCCGACCTCTCCTTTAGTACTATATGTATGGTTAGCGTGCCGGGCTGTGGAGTTGCCGGTCCAATGTTCGTGTCCTGCTACAGCAACAAGTAATAATAATATAGCACTTTCCACGTTGGGATAGTGGGTGCCTTATAAGTGTAACAGTCAAATCCCACTATAAGGTCAGACAAGAGTAGCTAAAAATATGGGTGCTGTTTACTAGCAGCCTTCTCTCTAGGCTGGCCCGGCATGGCCAAGTAGTTAGGGAGTTCGACTCGCAATCTGCGGGTTCGAATCCCCGTCCCACCAAACATGCTCGCCCTTTCAGCCGTGGGGGCGTTATAATGTGACGGTCAATCTCACTCTTCGTTGGTTAAAGAGTAGCCCAAGAATTGGCGGTGGGTAGTGATGACTAGCTGCCTTCCCTCTAGTCTTTCACTGCTAAATTAGGGACAGCTAGCGCAGATAGCCCTCGTGCAGCTTTGCGCGAAATTAAAAACAAACTAACTCTCTAGAATCTAGGCTATCACTTCAAAATTAGGGATGGCTTGCTCAGACAGCCTTTGAGTAGCTTTGCGCATATATTTAAACAAGCTACCTGTATTCTAAAAAGGTACGTTTCAGAGATAGATATAATATGAATTCTGACTTGCTTTATCTTTATGTCGCATAAGAAGTCCTTTTTTTTTTTTTTTTACAAATGACTTTAAATAAACAATTAACCATGAAAAAATAAGACCGAAGTGTAATGTGTTTCAACTTAAACTTATATAACGTGTGACTTCTCAGATATCCGGATATTAATGTTGAAACGAACAAAAACTTCTATTATCATCAGCATTATATATTGCAAACCCTGAAAACGTTTTTTTTTTTGTTGTTGTTGTTGTTTTTTCTCGGAACACTGTGGCTTTTGATCACATTAGGGACAGAGATCATGACCTCGATGACATTTGGTCCTAGTTCAACGTCCTGGAACACTTTACTAAGCAGCTAAGTATACCTTGAGACAAGTTATAGATGGATTATTATTGTAATATTTTTGTTATATAGATGGCCACCTGATTATGAAATCAGAATAAAAAAACGTCCGAACATCAAGTATTCGAATATCAACGGCGTTAACACCACCTTTGGGGTGTGCTTCTCATATGATTTTATGGCAAGCGTTATGTATATAAGTATAGTTTTAAGATAGGTTTAAATATTGGTTTAGTTAGCGTCTTATTCAAGGAAGATAATTAGTCCAGTTCAGAAAAAAGTTTATTGTTTTTGTGTTGACCTATTTTATCACGTTCTGGGTGAATGAAGTAAAGGAACGGGCTGAGTGTGATGTAGTGGCGATCGTGAATTCGAATATTTATGATTTACGACCCTATTTAGACCAGGAATATTAAGTATGTGCTAAGAATTATCAGTTTCTTTCCCCACTTCGGAATCGTATACGTGAAAAATCACTGCCTTTTCACTTCGTTGAACCTATGTTTTACGTTGTTGGCGCCTTTAGATAAATTTGGTGTCGTTGTTTACTTAAAGTTATGTTGTGAATGCGACTTGCTCGAATCACAGATTCTACGAATTCAATTTTATGAATTGAATTATCTCGTTTTTTATTCTATGAATTTAAAGTAGTAGCTTGATTTTTACTCCATGAATTTAAAGAATTAACTCGTTTTTACTCTATGAATTTAAAGAATTTGCTCATTTTCTACTCTATGAATTTAAAGAATTAACTCGTTTTTACTCTATGAATTTAAAGAATTTGCTCATTTTCTACTCTATGAATTTAAAGAAGTAGCTCGTTTTCTGCTCTATGAATTTAAAAAATTAGCTTATTTTTACACTATGAATTTAAAAAAATAGTTCATTTTTTATACTATGAATTTAAAGAAGTAACTCGTTTTTACTATGAATTTAAATAATTAGCTCGTTTTTTACTCTATGAACAAAAAATTAGCTCGTTTTCTACTCTATGAATATAAAAAATTAGCTTGTTTTCTACTCTGAATTTAAAGAAGAGGTTCGTTTTTTACACTATGAATTTAAATAAATTAGCTCGTTTTTAACACTGTTAAATCAATGAATCGTCTAATTTTTAGTCGTTAAATTAGCTCCTTTTTCAACATATGCATAGTTATATACTTATATATAACTTGGTCTGACTTAAACTAGATGTTGAGTATAGGAAAAAACAGACTCTATAAATAATAAGAAACTAATTGAAAAAATGACGATTCTAGGGCCGAGCAAAATTACAAGAGTTATATATTATTCACGCGGAAGGACTTCGAGTCAGTTGAAAACATATAGTTATGAATATATCTCTCGAATTGTCTCAAGTAATACCCTTATTTAGGCTTAAGTTTAAAGTATTGGCTGGCACAACAATTGACTTAATCGATAAGAAACGCTGCTGCAATAACTTCGCTTTACATATATAATCCTTGAAATGGATGAACGATATCTTCTCTACAATTCACAGTAAATCATACTGAGACATCTCTGTTTTCTGTATTGTGTCGTCATTACTTTCAATCCACATGAATGAGTTCACGTTTATAAACGATAACCTAGCTTACACTGGCATGCACCGTGTATTATGTATTAACTTTGCAAATTTTTAAAATTAGGCTGGGCTATGCATAGATAGTCCACGAGAAATCCTGAAACAGACAGAAGTAAACACGTTGTACTCTTTGGAAGTAGTGTAAAATAGTCACATGTGTTGTTAAACGAAGTAGCGTAAAATAGCCACGCCCCCCAGTGCCACAGCGGAATGTCTGTGGACTTACAACGCTAGAAATCGGGTTTCGATACCCGTGGTGGGCAGAGCACAGATAGCCCATTGTGTAGCTTTGTGCTTAACTTCAAACAAACAAAATAGTTACAGGTGTTGATAAACGAAGTAGCGTAAAATAGTCACAGGTGTTGGTAAACGAAGTAGTTTTAAAAAGTCACAAGTGTTGGTAAACGAAGTAGTTTAAAAAAGTCAAGTGTTGGTAAACGAAGTGGCGTAAAATAGTCACAAGTGTTGGTAAACGAAGTGGCGTAAAATAGTCACAAGTGTTGGTAAACGAAGTAGCGTAAAATAGTCACAAGTATTGGTAAACTGCTATCATTAGAAATTAAATATAGAAGTCATTAAAAAACAAACACTGTGGTAAAAAGTGCGAAGCAAAAATAAAATTAATTTGCTCGATAAAAAATTCTGTTGGTGACCTTCTTTTGTCATTCGCACCAATCACTGTGGTCTGCTTTAACGTGATATGATTTTACCAGCAATTGCTTTCTTCATAACCCATGTTTGTTGTGTAATGCGACGAAGACAACCTAGATACGCTGTGTAATATCTCCGAAAGGGGGGTCGAAGGCCGCTTAGAGGGGTCACCTGTTTTATTTGTTTGTTTGTTTCAAGTTAAGCACTAAGCTACACAATGGGCTATCTGTGCTCTGCCCACCACGAGTATCGAAACAGTAGACACTAAAATGACGTCATATAATGGATGTTTACATTGCAGTTTGTACTCTCGTGACGTCAGTAAATCGTGCGCATGCCTTGAATCACGAGAAGAATTATCCACTCTGTAGTTTACAACACAGCATGACATATGAACTTCAAAAGCAAGAAATAAAAATTTGTGTTACTCTTAATTTTGGTTTTATTTATTCTTGAAACAGAACACTATCGGGGACGCCAGGAAGTACATCTAGTAGTTTTTGTATACAAGATAATCTAGACACGTTATGTATAATATTTGATACTTGTATGTAAACCTGGAGAGGCTGTTTAATTTGTAGGCGGTAGTTCTAACCTTATCCGTCTTTTGCCGCATAGTTGTGTATCATATTAAAGTACGGTCATCTCCAGCATGGATTCTTCCACATTAGTTTATTCTTCGATTTCCAGCAATAACTTTCATACCAAGTCAGTTTGTATTTATATGAAAAGACGGGATTTTAAATTTCTCTGTAATGATGAAAGTTCCCGAGTTTTTCGAAAAAGTCCCCTGTTGTTTAAGGTTCAGAGTATCAGTACTTAAGAACGTGTTGAACTATGGTAGCATGCATGAGATAAGATACATCGAATGTCACATGTTCACCAGAAATCGATAAGAAAAGCACACTGTACTTTGTTGCATCTTGTTTTAATTTAAGATCTGTATTTCTCATTTTTCTATTTACTTTCGTATACTCAGAATAATAGTAATAATACTTTATTTTTCATCCTCTTTGTATAGGGAGTCGATCTTGGGACAGTGCAGAAAGTTTCAACAGAAGCAGAAATGTGTGGTTTGATATTCCAGAACATCATCAAGTAACCATCGGTACGATCATCTCACGATGCAAGTGGGCAAGACAGCGACCAAATCTAACCAGAAATTTACTAAGAAGAGGAAGTCATCGGGAGTTAGAGAAAAGGATAATGAAGTCATCATCAATAAGGTCCCAAAGTTCGACAGTAAGGTACCAAAACTTCAGAAGAGTTCCAAACCAAACAATGATGTTGCCGGCTCTAACACTAAGGTCCCAAAGTTTGATAATAAGGTACTAAAACTTCAAAAGAGTTCCAAACCAAACAGTGATGTTGTCGGCTCTAACAATAAGATACTAAAACTTCAGAAAAACTCCAAACCAAATAATGATGTTGCAAGCTCTAAAAATAATCGGAGTTCTGTTAGAAAAAATTCTTCCCTAAAAAGCAAAAAACTTTCCTCGCTAAAGAAGAAGTTTTGTGAAACAAAGAAATGCGCAACGGCTCCTAAAACAAAAACTAAACTAAACGTTTTCAAATCCCCAAAAGGATCTGCGAAAAACAAGACCAAAGATGGTAAAGAGAAAGACAAGACAGCAACTAACTGCAAAAAAGCAAAACACAAAACAGAGAAAAAAAACAGAGCCATGTCCTTCCATAAAACAAAGCCAAACTTAGTATTAACTTCGGATGGAGGTTTAGCCAGTCAGACGTTTTCATTGGAAAAAAAAAAGATCTCACTTCAGAAGCAATTAATAGCAACACCTTATCAGTATACACTCCAACAACGAGGTCCACTTTAAGGGTTAGCGGTGGAAGAAATGAAAAGCTTCACGAAGGTTTGCCAAACAGAGCCAGAAGAGTTAACAGCAATTCATCCAGAAAAGAGAGAAAATGTAAATTATCCAAATCATCTGCTGTAAATAAAATTGAGGACCATAAAGCTATCGTAAAAAAGATTAAAACATCTCAATGGCAGGTTTCTAGAGCTCATCGAGAAGCTAGTCTTAATGCCTTAGCTAAAGTCCACTTGCTTTATGAGAACAGCAGTCGAGGTAGCGGTTTGGGAGAACAGAAAGAGCGCGAGAAAGATGGAGAAGAGACCTTGTACTTGAAAAAAAGTAGAGAGAAGACAAAACCACACAGCAAGACATTTCCTGAAAAACAAAACGGTTTGAACAAAGTAATGAAAAAAAATAATGATCGGAAGCAAAATGGGAAAATTAAACGAAACCGGAGAGAAGCTATTAGTGGGGTGGTTTTTGACACAAAGTCTTGTAAACGTATGGCGAATTTAAATGCACAAGCGATTCTGTCTGCCAGCTATTGCCAAGAGCGGTGGCGTAGAGAGAAGCTCGAGAAGAAGGTGTGTCCTGCGGTTGACATTCAGTATGAAATTAGTCACGTGCAAGAAGAAAGATTGGAAGCATTTTCTGTAAGAGCCAGTGTTACTGAGTCCACCAAAGAACATGAAATGCGCGTGACAACATGCAATACCCAGTTAGTGGTCACACCGCAACAAAAGGACGAGAGTGTGAGAAATGAGAAGACGCTATCAAAAACTAGAGACAAAAAGTATAAAACAAAACCTGTAAAAACATGGACGGCTCCCAAGAGCCACGTGAAAGTGGGACGACGAAAGAAAAACTCACTGGACGTCCAGTCGCCTGTTCCGCCCGAAATGATTCCAATCTCTTGTGAGGTGCAAACCATTTCGTCCACTAGTGAGAGCAGCCGCACAATCGCCAGCTCGGGGCTTGAGAACGTGGGAATGGCACAGTACACAGAGGTAACCAAGGTTCAGATCAACCGAACAAAAGAGATGGAAATAAAAGAAGAAATGAGGTCTCAAAAGAAAACGGAGCGTTTTGTAGCCAATGACGATGTAGCTATTACTCGTATGTATCACTATCAAACCAAAGCAACAAGTCAGAGCTATCGTCTTCAGATGGAGACTACTTACCAACCCTTATCGACTCGGGAGTACTCGACTCCGGCCACAACCGTGAGGCAGCATCAGAAACCAAAGAGGCACGTTTCATCAGCAGGTCACGTGGTGCGTCCTGTGATGTCCGACAACCAGAATTTCTATAATTATTCCAATCACAACGCGATGGGCCCAGTGTCCAATCATCAGTCTTTCATGAACCCTAACCTGAACGGCATGAATAATGTGGCTATGGTTGGGATGGGCCCGATTTCAACAAACTATGGAAGTGCTTTTAGTGTTCCACATTTTGGACATTCACCTTCAATGCCTTACACACCTGATGAGTATGGTAAGTTTTCGTTCTATTATTAAAAGTAACAAATAATGCTCTTTAGCTTAAAAGGCTTGAAATTAAAGTCATTTCCTAAAATGATATAAACAGTATTTTTGCGCAATCTGTATTCCATTAACTGTCCTCTTGAGCAATTTATTCAATGTAAAATATCCCTATTTTAGCTGCAACTTAATCCTAGATTAATTAATGACAAAACCGCATCGACCTTTTATACACATTTTTCTAAACTATTTAGGCGGCCCTGCATGGCCAGGTGGTTAGGGCGCTCAAATCGCAGTCTGCGGGTGGCGGGTTCGAATCCCCGTCACACCAAACATTATAATATGTTATAATATGACGGTCAATCCCACTATTCGTTGGTGTGATGACTAGCTGCCTTCCCCCTAGTCTTACACTGCTAAATTAGGGACGGATAGCGCAGATAGCCGTCGTGTAGCTTTGCGCGAAATTCAAAACAAACAAACTATTTAGGCACCAAATTGCTTGCGGATCCACGAACGATTGTATTACAGAATCCCCAATAGCTCAAGAGTCACATAAAAAATGAAACCATATTAGCCCATTCAAGCCCATTAATTATCGCTGGAGTCACTTATGTATTTAACAGGGAACATTGGTGATTTTGTCCAATTTTTTGGTCAATTCTTTATACACCCGTAGTGAACAATATATATAAAAAAGTTGGGTAATTTGAAAACTAAGGCATTGAAAGCGTCTCGTTATTTTACTAATCCCTAAAAGCAAAAATTTGTATTTTCAACAAAATATGTAGTTATCAGCAAGTTAAGCGTTACTTGATCCAGTCTACCCTTTAATGTCATTTTGAAAAGAAAATTAAAAAAGCACTTCAACGTGAAGTAGTAAGATTATGTATGTATTTATTTTAAACTTGAAAACTGAAACTGCGCCAATGATTAAAGTAAAATGCACTCGTAAGTCTTAGAAGCATTGTTCTCATGAGTCCTTGTGACAAAAAAAAAGAGTAACTGTCTTTTATAATTTTCGCATTTCATTCATGATTTTTGTTTCAAAAAGAAATATATATATATTTACACACACACACACACACACACACATATATATATAAGATTCGCGTGGTTCACGTTCTTCTTAGTGGATACTTTGATGCACGTATCTATAAGAACAGTACATATGAAATATCAGCCTTATGAACCATAGTCTGATTTTAAAAAATTACTACCATCACGTTTAAATTAATTCGTATTTGTCCGTGTAAAAGACCTCTAATTAAAGCATCCTGTGTATAAATGAAAGCAACTATAGGACACCATCTACCATTGTCCAAGAAGATCTAGAAGAAGACAAAAAAAAACTCTGAAAGGGATATAAGCTTTGTGCTCCAATAAAGTGTATTTAGTCTTAATTATAACCCATAAACAGCATACCTTATCCCAGTTTCAACCAATACTTGCTGATAAGTTCACGAATGGTTCTACTAGCGAGTGATAATAAGTTAATACTCAATTCCTCTGTAAATTTGTATCATTCTACTTTATGATGTTTCAATCTTACATTCAAGTTTCTCAGGTTAATTCTAGAGATTATAAATCATACGCTAGTGTTGTAAGTGTATTACACTCTTAGCCGTATCCATACAGAATATTTTTATTGATCGTCGTACTGATACGGATTGTTTATTATATAATTATCAGTCTTTTTAAACATCAACAGAAAATACAGTTTCAGAATAATAGACTTTAATAGAATTGGGGTAATAAGTATTACATTGAGAAAAGCTTACTTGCGAAGTGGTTGCACAGCAGATTGACCATGCTTTATAAACATGTGGTAATGGTGGCGTATCTCTGCAGAAGCAAGACATGAAGCTACGGGCGGTATGTTTAGCGCATATATGTTTTATTCACAGTAAATAGCCAACCATACGACGAGCCATGGGTCTGAGCGAATATCTCGTAGTCCTTTCTGAGGGAAGATGTTTGAGTGTTAAAATAGCAAGGGAGGAAGGCACACCAGTATACGAGGATGTAAAATCTCCTGACCAGCATCCCACGTCACGCAGGACTGTTGCCAAAGTCCTCGGACTAATTCTTCAAGAACCCTTCACTCCTACTCATCCAAGAAAGTGACTATTAACAAATTCACAGAGATGTATGTTGGATAATTGGTCGAGGTCTCGATGTATTTGAACCAGTGGAACAACAACAAAAAAAAAAACAGGAATTTTGCTTCCGACTACAAGTTAGAACTTTTAAATACAATAGTATTATGGTTGCCGAAAATTTCACATTTATTAGTAAATTTAAACTTCACAAAGTTGACAGTAAAGCAAACTTTAGTTATTATCACGATAATGTATTGAGGCTACATGTGTAAGATGAAATTCGTAGTTATTATCACGATAATGTATTGAGGCTACATATATAAGATGAAATTCGTAGTTATTATCACGATAATATATTGAGGCTACATATGTATGATGAAATTCGTAGTTATTATCACGATAATGTATTGAGGCTACATATGTAAGATGAAATTCGTAGTTATTATCACGATAATCTATTGAGGCTACATATGTAAGATGAAATTCGTAGTTATTATCACGATAATGTATTGGGGCTACATATGTAAGATGAAATTCGTAGTTATTATCACGATAATGTATTGAGGCTACATATGTAAGATGAAATTCGTAGTTATTATCACGATAATGTATTGAGGCTACATATGTAAGATGAAATTCGTAGTTATTATCACGATAATGTATTGAGGCTACATATGTAAGATGAAATTCGTAGTTATTATCACGATAATGTATTGAGGCTACATATGTAAGATGAAATTCGTAGTTATTATCACGATAATTTATTGAGGCTACATATGTAAGATGAAATTCGTAGTTATTATCACGATAATTTATTGAGGCTACATATGTAAGATGAAATTCGTAGTTATTGTCACGATAATGTATTGAGGCTACATATGTAAGATGAAATTCGTCAACCGTATGGCCAAGTTGCCAAGAAGGTATGACTATACCGGGATAAGTCGTTTAGTCACACATCTTAAGTCCACAGTAGTGTTTGTACAAACTCTGGAAAATGAAACCAGTGTTCATGCTATCCACTTCTCCAACATACCCACGAAGTCATCTAATTGCACACCTATTGACTTCTGTTCATTTGATGTGTGTGTGTGTGGCCCAGCATGGCCAGGTGGTTAGAGCGTTCGACTCGCAATCTGAGGGTCGCGGGTTCGAATCCCCGTCCCACTAAACATGCCGTGGGGGCGTTATAAGTGACGGCCAATCCCACTATTCGTTAGTAAAAGAGTAGCTCAAGAGTTGGCGGTG